TGTAGAAAAAGAAGCAAGAAAGATAAATGCACTATGAGAAAAAGAGTGTATGGAGACTGTGCCTGTGGTGTGATTGTTAAACCATTGGCCCTCATACTAGAAGCTCATGGGTTCAAATCCCACTGTTGCCTTTTTCCAACAACTGTAGAAAAAAAAAACAAGAAAGATAAATGCACTACGAGAAAAAGAGTGTATGGAGACTGTGCCTGTGGTGTGATTGTTAAACCATTGGCCCTCATACTAGAAGCTCATGGGTTCAAATCCCACTATTGTCATTTTCCAACAACTGTAGAAATAGAAAAAAAAAGATAAATGCGCCCGGAGAAATGTCCAAAGTGTGACAGGTGTCACAGCAGAGTGGGGATTGTCTGCGACCGTAAGGCGCCAGTGGTGCAGAGTCTGAGTTCAATTCCATCTGTGGTTGACGTAGCCTGGAACTACCCACAGCGGTGGGTCGGGGAGGGGGCCGTGTCCCCTCCCTGATTTCCGCAACGATAATTGGAGGGGGTTATACATCAGAAATCAAAGTCTGGTTAATGTTTTACAGACAGTAAAATACTATTATGTCTTAAGTAGTTTTCTAAGTAACTTAAAAAAGACTGCAAAACAAATGTAATGTTTACAAATGATTTAAAAAAATGACAACATTTACATACAAGAACATTACTAAGAATGTAACATTTGCAAAAGGTTACTTAGCCATTACATTTTCAAGTTTTATTTGAGAGAAATACTACTGTTGGTGTGGTTTAAGATTACAACTTTTGTATTTTACTGTCTTTACAAGTCTTATATTTTCTGATGTATAACCTCAAGTTATAGTTTCATCGAACATAGATGAAATTGAGAACCTGTCACACTTTCACTTTTCTCTGGGGGCATTTATCTTCTAATTTGAGAGTCAATGCTTTAACATCCTTTCAGAGTTCAACCTCTTCTTGTAGTATATTTATCTTTTTGTTTCAATTCTTACTTTGAAAGCCAATAATTTGGGATGTAATATGTATAGGGACTATATTTTTTTAAATTGATAAATTCACTGAGATTTCAGAGATGAATCAGGACTTGAACTCGGGATCCATTGAACTCTAAGCCAGCATCTCTTCTCTCTGAGCTACAAGGGCAGATGAACCATCTTCCTCTCTAAAACCACTGACATACATCAGATTAGACACTTAGAATTACATAACAATGTAGACACCTGTCACACTTTGGACTTGTGGAATGGTCCACAAGTCTGTGAATAGTTCCATTTGAAATGAATGACAATAGCTGTTTTAATAGTTACTGAGTCAGACATGTGGGGGGTAATGTTTGATTTATCTATAGGCTTATCTATAGGTTTTGATCAGTTACTGTGTAAATGGGTTGGGTTTGTAATTTAAAAACATATTCTAATCTATCTTATTTTCATTGACGAAGACGTCAATGAACTCGAACAAGGCCATCCTCGTCTTTTCCGCCCCATGCGAGTTTTCCCTTGAAGCTGATAGTAGAAAATATAAAAGATGTTAATTACTGGTTCGACTCCTACAATCACTACTATTAACTTCTTGTCTGTTCGTCGTGGCTGGTGGTAGATGTGTGAAGCATTTTTCAGGTATGTGGAACAACCTGCAGGTACCAGAATAATTACAGTGAACATATTTTAGGTTTCAACATTTTAAGATAATTTATTCATTAATGAACTGGTTCTGTGTCAAGTTGCGCTGCTCCTGCTGCTCATTTTGACGCATGTCAAAAGACATAAGACTTACGTTACCTAAAGTTGAAAAGCAACTTTTCAGTGGTATATACTGATATACTGCTCTGAGAACTCAACCCCAGATGGAAACTGTTTCTGGGTCTGTTTCCAAAAGAACATTCTTAAGCAGCAGACTCACCTCATCTAATCCCACTCTAACCACAAGACACACACAGCCAGAATTCTTACAATGAAAGCTATGTACAGTGGTGAATCTCTGAATATTTAGCATTAATTTTTCCATCCACTTCCTGGCACTTAGGATATTAAAACAGATACATAAACTAAGTACGATGCCTAGATTTCTGGTATATTGAATTTACTGTACTAAACACCCTGGAATCAGACTCAAAAATCTTTCCTAAGTTAAATACATGTCCCACACTTCTATCTACAGAATAATCCCAAGGATTATTCACTACACAGCAATCTCTGACCCTAAGAATATGTATAATTTTATATTCCTTCAGCTTTAAACTTCAAAATGAAAATTTAAGCAGGATAAAGAACTGTGGTGTCCAAAGGAAGAAGATGATGAAAGTTGGCGTTATTTATCCAACCATAGTTGTTATAATATGCAGTTGTGTAGGAGTGTCTTGCATCTTGGAGATTATTTTAAGCAGCTTTTCTTGTAGGCCATAAAAAAAAAAAAAAAGTGAGGGACATTTCATGGGTAGCAGCCACAAAAGTTGAGGTTTCAAGGTGGATAGATGATGTAATAATGTAAGGAATGCAACCACAAAAAAAAATCTGGCAAGTATTTTGTTTTACTGAGAAGATTTCACTCAAGTGGGAGTGACTTATGTTATGGCTTTTAATAGTCTCATATCTGTAGACAGCTTAAGTTAACTTTAATCGTAACCTAATCTGGCTTTAAGTCTGGTATTTGTCAGGGTTTGGTTGAGGTTTGAGGACCCAAATGCAAAGGCAGAGGTTGGTTTTCTGTTTTCTGTTGAGGCAAGAATCCAAAAAAACCAACATGAAAAAAGTTAAACAAACAAGATCTATGAAGACATCAGGAAGACCAATCATAAAGAGGTTAGACACAGTAAGGCATACTTAGACAAAGTTAGACGAGGAACCAGCACTGAGGAAACTGCACAAGTAGAGTATTTATGGCTAACTGAACAAAGAGAGGACTAACAAGCAGATTGGGAGCAGGTGTGAAGAGAGCAGTCTAAAGAGCTAGGGAAAAGGATAGCAACAACAGAGGGCAACGGATAAAAGCCTAAGAACTGATATATAACGAGAACACACAACAAAATAAGTATTAAACCAACACAAAAGAAAACATACACATGCACAACTTTGACTTTTATGTTATTGCCATAAAAATGTAGTGGTGACCGAAACAAAAAGGGTAAAGATGACAAATATCTCCACTGAGTGACTACAAGCTCAGATAAGTTTGACTTTTAGGTTATTCTTACAGTTTCTCAGAGAAAATCTGACTTTCAAATCCCGGTCTCTCCAAAAACTTCTCTCTTAAAAGAACACTGGGTCTCTAACCCACCACTAAAAGTTTGCTTTCCCGTATTTGACAACAAAGTAAGAAAAACTTTGACTTGTTAGAATAACCACAGTATTGAGAAGTTATTAAAAAAATGTTAAAGATTACAACTACATTTTTTAAATTACTAAAATCATGGTCCCTATAAAGTACATACTGTGTATAAATGCATTACAAGCTGCAAATATTTAACCATAATCTAATGAATGTGTGGTCTTGAGGTGTGCACTAAATACAAACTAATGTACCATGTAATGAGAAAAGGGAAACAGGTTTATAGTCTTGAGTTGGGTAAAGAGACACAAGTATAGATATAACAAAAAATAAATGCAGATTTCAGAAACCTCAAATCTAATATTTTACTTAGATATTAAATTACATAGAACAAGTACTCTGTGTCTATACTTTTGCTTGTACGTAAGCTTGAATGTTTTTAGGTGATTTAATAAGGGGAATATTTGCTAAACGAACATTCCAGTTATAGAATTTCTAAGCCGCGATTCATTTGCTGCAAATTATGTCGCAAACATAAAGCTAGATGATGATTGGCCTACTTAAGGCAAGTCTGCTAACTGGCACATTTGAATACAGTGGAGCATGGAGCAAGGACTGAACAGACTGGGGGAGGAGAGGAAACAGTGAGGGGGCGGTGCACTAGTTTGTCCCATCTCTCTCTCTCTCTCTCTCTCTCTCTCTGCTGGGTCTGGATGGAAAAGCTTGCACAGGCAGAGGAGGAAACATGTCAAGAGAGGTGATGACACAGCCACATAGACGTACTCACATCCTCAGTGGCTTCTGGGATTGCTCTTTACTATCGTTTTAGCCGCTGTCAACCTTCCTGCATCCCACGGAGGAGAGAGAGAGAGAGAGGGAGAGAAAGAGAGCCGTCACTCCCCCTCTTCACCTCTATCTTCCCATCTTTTTCACTTTGTTTGTGGATGATGGGATTTTAATCATGTGGAAGGTAAGAGCCAGAGTTGCACATTGTATGAAGAGCGGTGGGTTATATACAATGAGCAGTTGGAGGTTCTTTGACTTAAGTTTGTAAATCCCTGGGGGGGATTCCCACATGCTTCAACCCTCCACCTCAGCCTAGTCTGTATTCTCAGTAAATCTGAGAAGTGCAAGAATGATAATAATAGAGCAGTGGCTTAAGAACCCAGCCATTGAGCTCCGTGGACAAACTTTTGTAGAAGCATTTTCTGAAGATACTGTATGTTCAACAGAGTCTGCTTTTATTACACTTTGTGACTCATTTATTCCTCCTCCTTTGAGTTCTGTGTTCACTTAAGTTCCTGACAACTTAATTTGATCTCGAATTATCAAAGTCTTCTCATTCTTTTAATAGTGAGCTAAAGTTTCATGATGTTTAGTCTCAAAACGAAGATAACACATTGCAGAAGAATAATCGGTATTGTTCGCATTTTAGCTCGGGTTTTACAAATGAAGCTTGTTTTAAAGCAACATAATCTTTGCTTTTTTACCTAATTTAAGCAAGTATTGGAAGACTGTTTGTCTATCAAGGTTGTGCGTATAAGAACATGTAAAATTACATCTACATGATGACTATTTTTGTCTTGCATATGGTGCACAGCCCACTTCATATATTGGCCTCAAAGAAAGTCGGACGCTGTGTGCTGAGGCTTGTTTGGTACGCCTCACTGCACGAGTGTCTTCTGTATTGGACTATGTCACAGCTGGCAAACAAGTTCAGCGCCACTGCTTATTCTCTCCTGCGACAGATCAGAGAGATCAATTAGGTCTTGGTTTTGAGGATGCAAAAAAGTTACATTGGACTGGACAAAAAAAAAAAGAAAACTAAGAAAAAACTTGTGGGAAGTTTAGTTTGAAGCTATCATAACGTCTACCGATATAGCAACAATGCTATTGTTCCTGCTTCTTTCCTGTTTCCACTGACATGTCTTGTTGAGACCTTCACAGAGAAGCAGCACTCAGATCTGCCCACCCCCCCACCTGTAAACAGACCGTGGGAACTTTACAGACAATTATGGCAACCGCAGACCTTTCAACTTGTTTTCATTCCTTGAGGGATTGCTCATGCTGTTTATGTAAACTCAACAAATAGGGTTAAACTCTTAATCTAATTTAGAAGCAAAGCTGTTATTTTTTGTTTTGATTTTAAGAAAAAAAAAAAAACTCCCTTTTGCTGAAAGCCTCTCTAACAAATATATCCTGTTATCTCATCACTTCTGTATAGGGAGGTACAAGCAGTGAGATACTCATCTCTAACGGGTTATCTCAATCTTCAAAGTCATAGTTTAGTTCAAACCCGGTGTGTGTCAGGGGTGAGGGAAGGGGGTGCTAATTGCTATCTAAACATCCTTATAATGACAAACACACTCAAATACTTTTTTCCTTTAGTCAAAGGACCAGCTAGTTTCATTTGACTCCATTTTATCCACTCCACTGAATTTTTTAATCACCGACCAAGTAAAATGAGAGTAATGTTGTCATGGTAACTTTAAGAAGTGTGACAATGGGTGCAATTGGCTCAATCAACATTCCTGTGGAGGGACTCAGTGAGTCCTTCAGCTCATTTCAAACCTGAGAGAAGTCTCTGCAATAAAATGCAGGACATTTTAACAAACAAATAAAAACTGCAAAGCATTCTTTTGAATAAACAAATAACTGTGCCTCATTGGATTACATTTTTTCTATTTATAGAGAAATTGAATACACATTAAATACATACCAGAAAAAACATAGGAACCTTCGATTTTACTGCAAAGTGCAAGTCACATTTATTTGTGCATTAAATTTTAGGAATTATAAAATGTTAAAAAAAGATAGCAAGTAACTTAAGTAATTATTTCCTATAATCTTTACCAACTATTTTGCTGATGAAATAAAAAAAGACATGATTGTTGTTCTTATCAATAAAATAGCCACATTTTATTGATTTCATTACAACTTTGAGATGTGCTTACAGAGTTTTGAATTAAGTGCAGATGCCACTACATATAATGAAGATTTGCTTTTGAAATAATTTCACAGAGTCAAATTCAGCCTGAAAAACAATCCAAATATCTTAAATGAAATCATTAAATATGCCAAAATGGTCAAACTGTGCATATGAGCAAACTGCCTTATAGATATTGGGCCAAGGTGCTCATAAGCAGTAAGGTTATGGACCTTTGAGCCACAGAGCAACATTACAACCAGACTGTTTATGTTTTAACCAAGCAAGCCAGACTGAAAATAAGCAGCACAATTTTTTGGGGGAAAAGAGGGATACTGTATGTATCAAAATTGTTGAAGCCAATTGGGAAAAATTGTGCCATGTGCCCATCTACCAAAGTTTGATTTTTTCCAAGCAATAAAACAAATGAAATCAGAAATCACAGCAACTTGCATTTCTCAATCATCCGAGCATGTCTTTTACAGTAAATCGCCTAAAGCATTAAAAAAAAGGGGCTCCTCAACAGCAAGCTTGTGAAATCTTGAAGACACTCTTTACGTGCACTTGTGTGGTTGAGCTAATCTGGTGCCATTTTACTCAAATCTAACCTCTGTTAGTTTGCTTAAGCACTTGCTTTTTTCTCCTACATTCAACTGCAACCATTAATTCTAACAAGTGCACAGTTCTAAAGCTAAGCTTATACCTGGGAAAAGGAGTTTGAAAAGCTGTCCAATTTCTATTCTTTGAACCAAATTAAAAAGACGAAGCAATAGACAATATCATCATACATTAAGACTATGCTCACTGTAATAAACTGGAAGTAGAGGTAGAAAGCCAGTTGAAAGCTGGACCACAGATCAGTAATGGACTGAGGTTTCAATTAACGTGTTGCAATTTGGCAAGTTATGAACTTGATTTTGTCAGCTAGTAATAGCTATTTTGCCATTCAGGGTGGTTAGATTCTATGATTTGCATGCAGAAATAGCTGATATTTCATCTGAGATAAAAGTTTGCTTCATCAGAACTTATTGCACACATCTTTTTCCATCTCCTGTGTAGTAAGTTTACTCGTTAGAAAAAGTAATCAAAAACCACCTCATTTTGCAAAACACTTGAAAGTTGGTTAGAATTTTGCTGTTTACATCAAGCTCTTCTAAAGTGAAGCTTCGAAACGCACATAAAAATATTTATGGAAACAATGTTGCTAGATTAGCATGCCTTTGAACAGCGATTTCATTGTAAAATGTTTTAACTTTCAGTGGGTCTTTTAAAACCATCAGAGTATAATGTTTCTAATTACAAACTTGGCTTTCAACATTTTTAATAGGTTTTATATTTGGATTGTAGATTTCTTGTCATTATAAAAAAAAAAAAAAAAAAACAACTTCATAAAATGTTTGGGAGCCAAGTTGTGGTGTGAAACTCTCACAAGCTTAGAAACAGGGGACCCTGACAGGTTAATCCAGAGGGCGAAGCCATAGCCGGTGTCGAGGACGTGCTCAGGATACAGACCCAGGAGATCAGAACTCCAAAAAGGTTCCAAAGGAAAATCCAGGTTGGTGACAGGAAACAGCTCCAAGTTCAGCAAACAGGCAGAATCCAGCAGGAGTCCAGCTGGGAAAAGGCAGGTTCAGTGGTTAAGAGGCAGAGCAGGTCAGGATCAGATAATCAGAAATACTAAGGTAACGCTGAAACACTCACCACTGGCTTGAGAATAACTCCTGATGACTGGAAGCAGGCAGGTTAAAACAGATCAGACGGGAACAGGAGGGCTCAAACACTAAGGTAATGCTGAAACACTCCCACCACTGGCTTGTGAGTAATTTGACCCTGATGACTAGGTGTTGTAAAAAACTTGCTGAAGACAGCAAGTTCTATATAAACACTGTTTTACCAACTAACTTACAAAACCAGCATAAAGTCTTTGCAAGCAACTTCTATTTATTTTATGCCACGAGTGATACCAGATTCCAAGTGAAACAAAAGCCTATTGTCATATTTGTTTAGAGTATGCCTAATTTTTCAGAGTCACAGAATGGTGCGGTTTCCCCGATTTCAATTGCGCACCATTTTAAATCCAAAATAGCAAATAAGGTTTTTCAAAGATAAACTTTCCTTAGGCTTTATCAGAGTTTGTTTTGAGAAGAATTTTAGGGATTTCATATTATAACACCACTAACTCTACCCACTCACGTCTGATAATTCTAATTTCTAAATGCTGGTCTCAGAAAAAAATACTAATTGCAACAGACCAGCTGGTCAACTTAATGATGGTAGAATCCACTCTGTTCTCAGCCTTGTTCTAAGAAGCTACACTAGTTTAATTTTAAAATCTGATGGCTAAAATGTCATGGAAAGAAACCCACAGTGCTTAAAAAGCTTAAAAGCTTAATCACCTAAAGTAGCAGAGGCAAATTTCTCTTGAATTAGGAGCATAAACTGTAATCCCATACAAATTTCCCCTCTGTAAGGCATTATTGCTTTACTTATTCCTGCCCTGAGTAGTTTATATAAAATGGGAAAGTCTGGCCTGATGCACTGCATGCAGCAGCCACATGCTTTAACCCCTGAGCCATACTTATGCATGCAGATACCACACAGGTTACAGAAAGTTCCCTTTAAAACCTTTTATTAGCCCATCAAAGAAGCAGGAGTGGCTTTCTGGGAACATGGTGCAACGTTATCACTTTTATCAAAGCATTACTGAGTAATTGCAGTGATTGAAAGAAACTTTCATAAACTCTTAAAGAAAGTGGGGAATTTTTCTCTTCCCTACCTCTGAACTTCAGCTTATTTCCCCACTTTCCTTGATTGGCCCTTGGCTGGTCCACTACAATTCCTTTTTTAACATCAATCTTTGTACTAAAATATTATTTCTGTCATGATGTGTGGACTTTAAGATCTAAAGAGAAATCAGTGAATCAGTGGTCAGTGAAATTCAGCAAAAGGGTGGAGTCAGGGTAAAAAAAATATGCATGCCCAGGAGAAGGCCAGTGGCTGGAAGTTGGAGGGGATTTTGCTGGGAGCTGCAGGGAAGTGGGCGG